AATACACCCCACCATCAAAGTAGCTCTGTGTTATATGGTTTTAACCTCTACAGTGTTTTTTTTTGTTGCTATTTTTATCAGGTCTTCTTCCGAAAAATATAATAACCAAGTGCGTCTCCCCTTTCATGTAATGCTAGTGCTCCAGTGGCTAAGCCATTATAAGGGGTCTGTGGCAGAAATACCAACAGCTTGGCTATATCTGGAGATACCACATTAAGCCTGCAAAGGAGCTATGTGGGGGTTGTTCTGTGAAAAGAGATCCATTTGTAAACACTCGACATTTCAGTCATCTGTCTCTTTTTGCGCTCTCTCTCATCTAACCCCTATTTCACAGAATTCCTTCTTCATAAAGAATTAGCCCGATAGCGTGTTCATGAAGCACACAGAAAAAGTTAAGATTCACAAAGAAAGGCAGGGTCCTGTTATGAAGATGTTTTTTACCATTGGTTAGGTTTGATGAATTCATCTTATCGATTCGGTAAAGGTAAACAATAAATCATGCTACTCTCTACAATAAGACGTAGATTGCCTGTTATCTTAAGCACCAAATAATCACAAGCTGTATGTGTTTATGTTGAACCCATTCATCACACACCATCACAGCTGCACTTTGTTCCGTGCAGTTATCTCACAGCAGCTATCCATTTGAGACATTATACCTTGCAGAGACATGGCACTCTCATGATAGAAAGTAACATTGCTGACCAAGCATTGACCCCTCTAACTAACCTCAGTGTTTGTGTGCAGGATTTGCAAATAAAAACGTGCATTTGCAGATGCACTCTCTAATGCGATGGTTGGATTAAAAAGAAAGCTGTTCATGTTTGAAGGCAGACAGATGGAGAATTCGTTTAAAAAAATACAACTTCTGATGTTCAACATCTGCTGAGAAAATCTCCCTGCCCTCCCTCTATTTATCCATGTTCTTCATCTGTGCAAAACATTAACTTCTACCTCAGTAGCTGCATCTGCCTTCAAAGCAGAGCAAATCTCATGTAACTTATCAATTGCATGCTTACACATACAGTATCTGCAGCCCTACACTACTTAGTGTGGGGTTTGTCTTCTTTCCACTGTATGCAATCCCAGCTTTTTTCTGTGCCACAATGACTCAAAGATGGTATCATCAGAGACAGACCAGCTTGACTAAATGGGAGCAGCAAATTGACTGTAGTATTAGCAGAGAGGGGCCTCCATGAGATCCTCTGATAGGATCCCATTAAAGAAAGCTTGCAGATGAATATGATTAGCTATTCATTCCTCCTAATGGAAACATCTTCTGAAGAGGGGTGGAGATAAAATGATGTGTAGTGATAGGACCTTTTACCACTGATGGGATTGTTAAAGCCTAATTTGGGTGGAAAGGCAGTTAAAGTGGTTGGAAGGGAGAATGAATGTTCTTTGTAAATATGCTGTAAGTTATGACTGCAGACCAATGGCTCTTTGTGTGTGGGCAGGGATTTTGCTTTGTTGATGCAGAGGAAAACACCCTCCAAAGAAGAACCATATATTGGGCTTGTTTTTATGCTGGAAACTGTGACTAATGAGCATTACGTTTCATCTTTTGTGTATCTCCTTTACCAAAATAAAGCTAAATGAGTTTTTCTGTGTGTAGGGGTGTCCATGTGTGTTTTGTTTTTCCCTTTCATTTTTTGTTTATTTGTGGCTGTGTGTATGACCATTCCACGTTTTTACTTTCTCCAAAAAAACAGTGACAGAAGTGCCTCATTAAATTACAAAACGGCACAAGCTCCAGAACAGATTAAAGTTGCCAAGTCCTTAAATAATCAGATTTACACTGGGGGGTTTGTGAAAGTGTACCAGTTTAATTTCATTTTTGTCATTTAAGTTACAAGTTTTTTGAAATATTTGACCTGCCAGTACTTTATAAGTAGTGACATGCACTTTTTTCTGTTGTTAAATCTCATCTGTTTTCTGTTTGAGTACTATTGTTAAACACACTATTTAAACCTGGCTATTTTTAGATGTAGTTGCAGAAGGTTTGCTGCCTTTAAAAGACTTGCAGCTCCCTGTGCGCATGAAGGTGTATTAGCGTGCCCATGCTTTCACGTCCTGCAGCAGTAGCTAACTGATTGAGTAGATCTGCACTCTGCCAAGTCTTGAGGGACCTATAATGGACCTAATGCATCCGGAGGACACTGCCAAATACCACTCTGTACTTTGCTGCTGATGTTCCTGTGAATATGTCTGTAAATGGCAATTATGCCGATAAGAGGACTGAGAAAATGATTCTGTAGAAATTAATTACATGATTTCAAGAGAAGATGGTAAGGAAAGTTCAAGTTTTAACGATATTATAAGAACTATAATAAGGTCAATTTAATAAGGTCATTGTTGTTCTCTAAATTACTAGGTTAAAAATACTTAAGTTCCCAGAAATAAGACTTAAGCTGTATCACTGATAAACCATATTTAGCCTGTAGATATTACAAATTGCAGTATTTGATCTTATTCTATCAGCTATAGAAGTGTTTTGTTAAATGATGTACTTTTATATCAAGCTGCCAAAAAAACAACTCATAAGATTTACATTAAAAAATATATTGTGTTTGCACGCAAATGATTTAAGTAAAATTTAATGCTTTCCATAAGACATAACAGTTGTGAAAATATTAAGAAGATTTTTACTTAATTACATCCAAGTTGTAAGTTAGATTTATTTAAACAAATTAAGTACACACAGTATGTTTCTCTAACTTTTAAGGCAACAAAGAGACAAACAACAATGCATGCACAGGAAGAACATGCAAACTCCATGCAGAAATACCCCAGGCCAGAATTGAACCCAGAACCTTCTTGCTGCAAGACAGCAGTGCTACCCACTGTGCCAGTGAGCAGCCCTCTAACTGGAATTGTACACACATGTGATTAAAAAAAAATACAAGCCTCTGAAAGTTAGAGTTTCAACATTTGTTACAGAAATATATTCATATGTAAGAACAAGAATATTTGAATTCACGTAAACATGCTCAAAACAACTTTTGAGCAGTGGTGTAAAGATTATGTATGCCTCTATTTAAATAAAACAAAGCATGTACAAATATAGCATTAATAATAAAAATGAAATATGTTGTGCTGCATTAGAATTGTACCAAAAAAAAGATAAGGTTGATATGAACAAACAACAAATACAAAGTATTTTATATACCCACATCCAACACAGATCTGGTCATATAGTCACTACTCAAATATGCTATACAAATCTTACAAACCTAAACACTGAATTAGTGCAATTTCAACATTTAAACCAGTCGTCCAGACTAGTAGACTTCTAAGAATGCATATACAACATTAATGAAACAAAATTAACACAATTAAAAATTAACAGATTATACTGTCAAACCATTCTTAATGAAGAATAAAATCTCTATTAGATATTTGAATAAAGGTATCTGTTAGTTTTTGCCTTATAACAAATGCCTTGTTTGGCAAAAAATAAAAAACATTAATGACAGGCAACCTTCCACTAAGATTAACTGGAACCCACTGCTGATTCTTGGCATTTGATGCCACATTTTCGTACCCTAAGTTGTCAAAGTCATTAATGCATTTAGGAAAGCTACTTCAACTTCAGAATGTTTAAGGCGGTAGTTTTATATCCATCCAACTCCAGGAGTTTTTGGAAGATTTCAAAAGCAAAGTCGGCACCCCATTCTTTAGAGATATTTTTGTTCTGAAAAGAAGAGAATGGCAGAAAAATGTTGGGATCTCCGATTATCTTTATAACAATAAAGGTGCTTTGCTGTTTTCATTCATATGTGTGTTATGTGTAACAGTCGTCACTGCAACTCTGTTAAACCAGTAATCTTGTGCCACACTGAAGACTGAAGCTATGATTACATGAGCCCTAGAGGAGCTTACTGTAACTTCTGCTTAACGGAACATATCTGTGATGCAGTCTTTGGCTCGATGGGAATACAATATCATGCAGTTTTCCCTGTTTCTGACACTTTACGTTCATTTCTGCCACAGATAATGTGAAAAGACACTGTGGAGCCAGATTCCTGTGCAACAAGCTGCTGCTGTCTTCATCACTTTGCCTCAGCAACTTTTACTTACAATGTGTCTCTAAGGCCAAAGTGTTTCAATGAATCATTCTCTCAATCCTCCTGTGTGTTCAAGAGAAAATAGTTATTTGAGGGTGTCAACATGTGCTTCACATGTACTTTGCCCCAGGCTTTTTCATGGTAAAACTATGACAGAAACAGTGATGAAAGGAAGTCATTTGCTGTGGTTGGGAATTGTTTTTCCTCTCAGTTTTTGTGAAGTTAAACATTTATCTTTTTGATGATAATTCTTTACATAATTAGAGTTGTTGCACGATTATTTTTAAATTACTTAAGTTTGCTCTAATGTATTCAGTTGAACTTCTGCCTAGGAGAACAAAAAACTTTTCTTATTCTCATGAATAAGAAATGAGTACTGTTAGAAATAAGTTGTTTTTCTAAGTTAACTGGTGCTTTCTTGGCTTTTGGATTTCTCCTCTTTTGTCTTGTTCACTGTTGTGTCAGCACCACAAGCCTTTCCCTTTGGGAAATGAAAAACTGTAAGATAGGTATTGAGTTGTCTATCTTTGAGCACAAGCAAAAGAATTGCTTTCGACTTGCAAATATTTTAGACATAATTGGAATAAATGTCTTTTGGGAAATATCCCGGGCATTCACGGTGTCCTCCTCCTCCTCTATAAAGGTTAATAGTATCAGATCTCAGTGAGTGAGTCAGTAAACTTAACTGTGTCATTTTGTGATGGAAAAGATTTTTTTTTTTATTTTGAAGTAGAGGAGATGCAGTCAACAGGTCAGGTTTTATTCTGATAAGGATTAATGAATACAGCAAACGTAGCCAGAAAGGAAGATCAAAGTAAGATAAAGGGAGACTGGTTTCCAGAAAAATGTTAATTATTTATTTAGTAAGCCATGCATGTCTCCTTTGCAAGATTTTTACTAAATGTGTTTTTTGTTTTCTCTTACATCTCTCAGATATGGAGACATGGTCCCAAAGACTATTGCAGGGAAAATCTTCGGCTCAATCTGCTCTCTGAGTGGTGTGCTGGTAATTGCCCTTCCTGTCCCTGTCATCGTGTCCAACTTTAGCCGCATCTATCACCAGAACCAGAGAGCAGACAAGCGGCGGGCGCAGAAGGTACAGGTGAACACAGTTTTATTTCTCTTCTGACGGGTGGACCTGCATCTTTCCAGGCCAGGGGAGGACTCGGGTATCTTTCTACATCAAAGAAACTCAACATGGTTCAGGTCACATTAAAAATTAAAGAGGTGTCTGATCCTGTCCACTGTTGTTACAAGTCAACTTTGGGTCTCGTATCACCACGGAAACGTAAATAATTCCTAGATTAAGGAGTAAAGCAACCACTTCAGATTACATGGTGCAGCTTGCTCAAGATAATATTCTGATTTTAATTTTGTTTAGTTGTAACCCCAACATTGGACAATAAGATAAACTATTCAAAGCAATTTGTGATACTACTAATAAATGTTTCAAACACATCTGTTAATGTATTTTCTATATTTGTCCAATTACTAGAGATAAGCACACAATTACAGCATTTTGTGTTACCCTGCTGGCAGTGAACAGTTGTAGGGAGATATTTTTGTCTTGAAAATGGAAAAAAAGTCCAAGACATCTTTGCTATTTTATTGTGAATACCTTTAACAAGCAAAACTAAAGGAATAAAAACTATATTTTTTTAGCCACAGAAAGGTGGCCTGTATAAGAGAATATAGCTTTGTCTTTATCATTTTAGGAGCAGTCTAAAAAATACACGGAAAGGCTGCTGTTAGATTTAGTAGTGCCACTTGTGTCAGCAAGTGCCTGCAGCTAAAAATAAAGACTTAATTGAAACCTAAAACATCATCATATTTTCTGGGGTTCATTTTGGTCAAATGCGAAATTCTTTTGCTATTGAGTTGTCTGCTTTGATTTCTGAAACATTTTGATGTCTGCTGTCCCATCCCTTTATCCTGCTATGTCTTTCTATACAAGATTTAGTTGCCCAAAATTTGACAGGATGACAAAAATATAAACATGGCACCTGGAAACACCAGTCTTTGCAGTTGTAAAACTACATATTTTAACATCATGGTGCACCTGTAGACCAGTTACTCCCTCTGCCTTCAAAGGACGGTTAAAAAAGGACTGAACCCCAAATATGAACAAAATCTCTTAATATCTCCATATTTTATTATAAATCTGGGCCTTCGTTTGGTTGTTTTATGGGACTTTCTTGGTTTTATTTTTTTGGGCTGCCACCTAAGAACCACAGCATTTCAGTAAAACTGATTTTACTTGTGATCTGGAACATTTCATCAATTCAAAATAGTTGTTAATTTAATTTTGTTTTATTTGTGCTGTGCATTCAGTGACGTTCAGTAGACAGCTAAAATGATGGTTTTTCACAGGCTCAGGTCCAGCTTCGGAGTGCAAATAACACTGGAATGTAATTATTCTCCTCTGCTCCTAGTATCCCTTCACCAGGTGTCTCAAACAACCAGAAGCAAAATAAAATTTGCTATTCATTATCCAAGCTCTACAGACATTGATGCCTAAGCTACAAAAATCTTTCACACAAGTTAATTTCAGTTATTAAAATAGACAACAGTGCTGAGAAAAATCCATGCAAAATGTACTATAATTCATCATCGATCTGTTTTTAAGCCTAAGACCTATTATCAGGTTAGCGTTGACACCGCATAACCCCCACAACCTTCTCTAATAGTAAAAAAAAGACATCTGAAAAAAAAAATGTCTCTCTTTCTCTAAGGACAGTTGACGTGTCCCTGGGCTAGCTTAGAGATGTAATCCCTCAAGTAAGTTGTGAGGCTTTCCAGAGGCAGTCATTAGATCTTTAAAATACCTCAACTGATATGTCTCAACTTAAGGAAACAGCTGCTTTGTTTCCCATTTTTCTCTTTCCTCACCATACGGGGACCCTCTTTTCAGATTTTTGTATCAATCTTCTAACTTCTTTCAGTATACATAATGTATGGCTGTATGTTAAAAAGGATAATCTAAAGCCTAACCTAGGACAAATGTGTATCTCATTATTTACAGATTCTATGTATCTAAAATGTAATTTTTATAGACGTGGAAATGTAAGTATGTGCCAAAGGGGTAGCTTGTGGAGAACAAACAATTTTGATAGTAGTTTCATTACGATTCTAACAAATACTTTGCAATATCTGTAAATATCTGGTTCTACTGTACATAAAGATGCATTATTTCATAAAATTTATAACATTTTGGTTGAGAGAGAGAGATATCATGAATCTGTCCTCCCTCTGGTATATAATTGTGCCTTTAAATCTTTTACAAAATCACTTTTTGTTGCAGCCAAACCAAGTATAGTGGCATCAGCTGGCTCTCATACAAAACTGAGCTGGTAATCATGGTTTGAAGGCAGGCCTGACAGTTTTTGTTCACCCTAGATGGATAGTGTGTTTGCTCGCACTTGGCAGACATGCATACCCGGACACATATTTTCAGAGTCCATCTCTCTCTCTCTCATCACTGCCATTCACAGCTTTTAAAAGCTATGTATTTTACACCAGCTCCTCTTCTTCCCTAATCCAAGCTCCTCTGCTTCCATCCACTGCTGCACCCCCCCCACCACCACCACCTTTTCGCTCTCATTTTTCTTTTACCTTTCCTGTGATTAATGCCATCCATCTCTGGACATGTTCTCTGGTTGCAGTTTAAATCTGTTTAAAGTCCTGCAACTGTGACCTGACCACTGCCTGGGTCTTAACTAAGCATAACCTTGTCTGCTGAACAAGACTCCACAAGGCTCTGTAACAGAGCCAACTGTTCCGGAAAGAAGAGTAGGATTGGCCAGTAGAGGGTATTCTCTAGATGGAAAGCAGGTTGAAATGAGATACGAAGAATTAGATGGAGATAAAAGAGAGGAGAAGGAGATGTACAAGAAAGGCCAGAGGGAAGGGGTAAGCAGAGGAGGCAGAGTAGACATGGGATAGAGCTGGAGGCAATGCATGTCCTGATGTTGTGTTCTTTCCTGAAATAGATATCACCCAGATGAGGTGCTGGCTGAAAGTTTATGTCTGTAGGCCTGTTAATGTGTGCATATGCATCTGCTGAGTGAAAAAAAAACATCCCCATCTGCATCTGATGGAGGATTGCATCTGTGCAGCACAGTAGCTGTGTTTGCATCCACCTTGCTTTCTACAACCTCAGTCTCGACCCCAGCTGTATCGCCTTCCCGTGTTATTTTTTTCTGAGCTGCAGTGTTGAGCAGTGTCTCAAGACACTGGCATATCACAAGACTCCCACACCAATGAACCACTGTAGCACAGTGCTGTAGACTGTTAGAAAAATGTAAATGTCATCATTTCATTTGTACTAAGTTACAGGCATTTGGCCTGCTAGGAATGTTGTGTTGTTTTAACTTCAAACGGGCAAAGCAAATGTCTCCCAGAAAGGGAAGGGTTGGGCCTTGTCCACTTATGCAGTTGCAGGTGAGTGATCAACACCAGCAATAAACCTACAGCCCCCTTTTTGTATGTGTAACCCCCCACCTCCCGGATGTCTCTGTGAAGTCCGATAATAAAGGCAGGGGACGGAGAGGTCCTGGCAGAGTTGACCACAGACATTCAGGGAGTGTCATTCTCTGTCTGTTTCCACTCTCCTCTTTTGCAGAAAAGTAACTTTTGTTTGTGTTGGTTTATTTCTAGGACAATAAGACGTTATCATCATCAACTGTATCATAGACCTATATATCATAGACCTATATATCATTAACCAGCATCAAATGGCATTTTGGAGGCACTTATAAGCATATTTGGCTTGCCTTTGGTGAGGTCAATGATTTGCCTCAAGCACCAGGATATCCAGTGGATTGTCATCCTCCCTTTCATGGCATTATGACTGAAATACCTTATGACCACTTTCAGGATAATGTTACACCTTATTGCTTCAAAAGACTTATTATTGCTATTGATGATGGAATGTTTATAAATATGATTATTCTTTTAATTTTTCCAACATTGTTAGGTCTTCCCAGTACTCATTACATACCATTTCTTAGACCTATTAGTTGTGCTCCATTCATTCTGTTGTCCTGTAGTTAAACAAGCTTTGTGGAATCAGTACAGATATTTTAATCTCCAGATTTGTAAAACTTATTTCTAAACAATGTCTTTTTACCCAATTAGGTAACCTGTAAAAGTAATTGATAATCTATTGAACTCAACCTTTTTTTAAGCTTATTAATATTACATAATATATTATCTCTCCTGTTTCTTTTGTGGAAGGTTATGTTTTTGTGGCTGTTCAAAAAAAAAAAGTCCAATATTTTCTGCTATCATTTAAAACTGTGACTGATGCTTTTACTCCAGGTAGTCCTCTTGCAGCATAATGGGATTCAACTTTAATTCTGAGATCCATTTTCATGACACAATACAGAGTGAAACAAAATCAACTTATGCAGGCACACTGAGGAATCTGTTAATGCTTTATAAAAACTCACTAAATTAGGACAATTAACCTGCTAATTAAAACCATTTGAATTATTGGATCTCTTCTCATGTTGATAATGAAATTAATAGAAACTGAATTAGATTGTCCTGACCTTTTTGACATTAGTTCTTACCTTTTTAGAATGAGTCCATCTCATCCATCTAAATGTTGCATAACCTAAATCCGATATATATACAGTATGTTTTATTTTTTATTAATTTATTTATTTTTTGGAGTTTACATACAGGAGTCTCTGCTAACCTCTAAATATGATGGAGCCCTTGTAATTTCATTGTCTGCTTTTTTACTCCTAATGACAGCTGTGGTTCTTAAAGCCCCTCCGGTACCATGAATCACTCAGGCATGGCATAGTCTTCAACACCCCATTACTGCCCTCGGCAGAACATGTAGTGTTTTTTTAATGCTCAATAACCTAAATGACATACAACCTTCCCTGTCATTAAACTAACCATTTGCAAGTGCCACTAGTCATTTACCATAACAGAAATGTCGTTTTCTCCCTACATCTCTCCAACAAGTGGATATGTTTCCAGAAAATTTGTTCTTCCTGAGGTCATTTCTGAGAATAAGGAAAGGTTCAACTGAGAGCTAAATCGGAAAGCAATTTTTAGATTGCCTTTCACTTTATTGAAATGACGAAA